ACGGTACTCATTATAGAAAAAATAATTAATTGTTTAACTGTTTTGTCAACAGTGTTCACAAAGTAGAATTGTAACTTGGTATGAGTACATACATTCTGCCAGTGTTGACAGACATTCAGCAAAGATAATGACTATGTCCCTGTTTTGACTTGTTGTCACTTAACAGTGACAAAGATGATAACTATGTCCCTGTTTTGACTTGTTGTCACTTATGAGTGACAAAGATAATGACTATGTCCCTATTTTGACCTGTTGTCACTTATGAGTGACAAAGATGATAACTATGTTCCTATTTTGACTTGTTGTCACTTATGAGTGACAAAGATGATAACTATGTCCCTATTTTGACTTGTTGTCACGTAGCAGTGACAAAGATCACATGTAACTATGTCCCTATTTTGACTTGATCAGAATTTTCCCGTTTGTATTTACCTGAACAACTGACTTTCTGAGGTTCTTGAGAGGCATATAGAAGTTGGTATTCAAGTGTAAGACAAAATATTATGGATGTCAACTTCTTCTTTATTCTATACACAACGTTTCTGGGCTTATCCACATCCCTGATATTTGTCTTATAACTGACCTTCTATTGTATGTGTTTGTGATAACTTTCACCGATGGTGAAGGGTATGTTTACTTTTTGACAACACCTAGTATCAATACTATTTGATGTTGATTCATAAACACATGTTCATCATATAGCAGGAATCGCACAGTGGACTCCGCTTGTAGCAGAGATTTCTTGTGAATATGGAGAAAACATCTTTGATAGTACAACATAGCAAGAGTTCAGCAAGAACTCACACCGAGTCAGTGAGTATGGTTTTACGCCGCTTTTAGCAACATTTCAGCAAGATGACGGCGGGGGACACCAAAAATGGGCTTCACACATTGTACCCATGTGGGGAATCGAACCCGGGCCTTCGGCGTGACGAGCGAACGCTTTAACCACTGGGCTACCCGAACTCACATCGAGATACCTGCACACTGCGAGTATTTGATAAACCCCGAATCATTGGGTCTTTGCATTGGAGTAGGTCTCCCTTTTCATTTTGCTACACACATGTATATATGATTTCTAGAAACATTCGCGTGATGTCCCAGTAGGGCATTAGTGAAAAATCAGTTGGTCACCGCGATTTGACCGATTATAAATCATCACCAATCACCATGTGGAATGATCCAGCAAATCACATCCTAGCAAATTTAAACCACTGGAACATGAGTACTGAAACAGTCTCCACCAACTAAAACGGTCTTTCTCTGTAGGGCGCAATGAAGGCTGATCAATGAAGCCATATTACATTTACGTTAAAACGATAAACCAAAAATAAAACATACAACTTTATGGATGACAACTTCGTATTTATTGCATAGAACGGCGTTTCGATGTAGATCCTTACATCGTTATCAAGCTAAAAGTGAATACAACCAGATGCATAGTATGTTTTGACAAACAGCAGATAAGCATCACAACAACATGTAATTGAATAACTGGCACAGAATTGTGAGAATATAATGAAACTCATCACCCACATCACAACATAATTTAGATTTTCTTTCTTCTATTGGTATCCTATTCCATCTTCCTCTTTTCAACTGGTAAATGGTGGCATGGAGCAAGGAAATGGAGTAAGGGGGTAACTTTGTTAAAGGCGAGGGGCGTTAGACAATTTTTAAATTCAAATTGTGATTTCAAAAGAGAATCTGTTGGACTTTTCGACCTCTAAGCTCCAGATTTGAATAGCATTGGCATATATAATTGAATTAACTTTATTTTTATCCAGGAAGATGAAATTGGAGAGTGTGAAAGTCATACATAACTTTAACCAATGTTATTACAATTGAAATATTCTCTACACATGAAATCCAGCTACGGATGTTAATGCTTTCCTTATGAAGATTTTACACAATAGAATAAAAGATTGAAGATAGCTTAGATGAATTATATTAGACCAAAAGGTTCACATACGAGTTTTAACATCAATAGAAAGTGGGACTGCACCTAATCCACCATATAGCATATACAATGGGGTACCTTTCTTTACAGGTTATAATTTTCTCATAAAACATATATGTACATTTTCAATTTGTTTCAACATATCCTCCAAATTTCACAACCGTACAACAAGATTAGTTTCACAATTGAAGCAAAGAGATATAGTTGACATTGTATTGATAACTTTAACATTCGACTTCTGCGTAAAACAAAATACATTGCTTTAGTAGCTTGTTGACAGAGATTTGATATAGATAAATTGAAGGAACATTTTCTGAAATAATTAACTCCAAGATATTTATACACAAAAACAGTTTTCCATAGGTTCAGCTAACTGGTTGAAATATCCAATTTGGACATTCCCATTTATATATGGGTGTTGCCGTGATTAATCCCCAACCCAGTGTCTAACAATTGGGTTGCCTAAGTAATGGGAGTAAATCCACAATGAAGTAACTTAATTGGGTCCATAGAACTCTGAATATCCATAGAACTTGGTTTTCCTACTTAATTGGGTGTTGTTTTAAGCAGACGATGCCTAACAATACCTTTATAGGTTAAATTAGACTACACCAGTGAGACGCCATGCTTCAGTGATTGCAATTCGTAGTTGATATGGGTATACAACCAAAGTCAGATACGTAGTCAGATAATTAGGCGGTATGAGTATATATTACTCTGAAAATTAGGAAGTATGGGTATACTTCCTTTGCCGAGCGTCACGACGAGTCTGTTGGTTGAGCGGGCGTCGAACCGTAGCAGCTTTAGCTTATTAAAACCCTTCAAGATGATGAAAATTAAAATGTTTACAAATCTTCAAAGATTCCAACATTTACAAATTTCAAGGGGATAACATACATCCCGATAAAATGTGTTCAAAAAGGAAATGTTGGCAATTTGAACTATTATATAATTCTTATCTAGGAATCTGCTACTTAAATGCCTGTATCGTTGTGCCTCCTCTACGTCATGAAAGGCTAAATCAACGGCTCCTTTTGTGGTGTCAGTGCAGGTATTCCGCTCAATGTATATACTGCTTGTTGTTTGGTGTACACATGCCGTGTGTTAAACGTTCCGAAACACTGAAGGTAAATAAATGTTGTCCCTTATCGTATATCAGTTTCGCAGGAATAGCAGAAAATCCGTCATTTTGTTTTTACGACGTCATCACACTAGTGTCTGTGGTTCAGGGACTGTGAGACAGACTAGATTCCAAGCATCAATATATAGTATCCCCAAAACCACTGCTTACAGATAGCATATATTCCTGACAAATACTTATTGTAAGGACACATTGTTACGAGTATTAACAGAAACTATGTGATACGACTACAAAAGATGTAGCTACCATCATAAACAAAGCCCGGACTTACACATGATTGTTTCTAAAAATGTTGGGCAAGCCCTCAATACTATCTAAATATACATCTTTGCAACCTATCGGGCTTACACGAGAAAAATGCCGTGCTACGCGCCTGACTACAACATGGTTCTATGTTCATATGTGATGTAGGTCGGTTTTGTGGGGAAAACTTAAGTGCTACTTCATGTATTCATATATAAGAAGAAGTTTCTGAAATAATCACACGACACGGATCTTCTCCAACATGTTTCACTTTTATCTTCAGGGAGACTGAAGATAAAAGTGAAACATGTTGGAGAAGATCCGTGTCGTGTATATATATATATATATGGTTACATCGAAGATTGATTTCTCCACTAACTTGGGGGAACCAACTGAAAACCTAATGCAGATGAAGTGCACGAGCATCATGCATCAAATTGCTGAAAAGCATGTGCAAATATCGTGCATGTGAACAGCTGCGTTTTGGTGTAACATTTCGTTAAGAATTCGCCAATCTTCACTGATTTTTATCATTTATTGAACTCATGACAATAATCTTTTCAATGTTACGAATTTGTTTTACAATACATCAGTTCATGGGTAAACAGTACCTTTAAACAGTATGGAATATTTGACAAAATTTAGTTCAGAACAGTTGCATGAAGTAAGTGGCTATATTTACACTAGTGAGTTTAAACTTTTGATGGGAAGTATATAATTAACATTACAACATATACATAAATTAATATAACCACACACAACATGTAAAATATTATCACAGAATAGTATGTATGTGTGTGTGTGTGTGCGTGCGTGCGTGCGTGCGTGTTTGTATGTATAAATGTATGTTTCATACTCTACATCACAGTAACACTAAAGTTTTGGGGATAATGGTAGGGGAAGATTTGTATAAAGCGAACTGTTAAATCTAATCAAAGGTAAATTAATCCACAGATAATAGTTTTGAAGACAAATATTTACTGGCAAGACTGATTTCCGGGCCCTGTTTGTTTACAGCATTCGACATGCGCATTTGGCGTCCAGAAATGAGAAACTGATAATCTGAACTACTGCCATATGATACTCGAGGCTTTCTGACAATTCGCGGCTCTGAAATATTGCCGATGTGTTGAAAATTGGTATTTGAATTTGCTTGCTCTATTCAAAAGTTTATGTATTTTAGATATAGACAGTCTCCAATGCCAGTACCTGTAATTGATATTAAAAACTACATTGAATAAATGTTCTACAAAACAGAGAGAGGACGTTAGTTAAATGCTTGTGTAGTATACTCTACTTCTCACGTGCAGGTTTAGACTAACGTTTAGTCCCTGAATACATATAATTTTGATAGTAGCAAATAAAGCCATTTAAATTGAAAAGGAGCCCCAGTGAGACCAGAGATTCAACCTGAACCTGAGGAAATCTAGACTTGCTTAATTTAGGGCTTCAGCATTGCAGGGAGGGCTAAGCATTGGTGAAAATAATGTGGTTCAGGGACTGTGAGACAGACTAGTGCAGGTTACATAAGGGGCTAAAGTGAATGTTCTGTCTCCCTTCGTGGAATTTTGTAACAATATGTTCCAGTATCACAGATATTGTGCAGTGTATTTAGGTGACTTCTGACACAGTTAACAAAGACTGTCGTTTCATATGTTCAGCTCTGTAAGATGTGCGTTCTAGGAGGAAGACCACTTTGTTAAACGTCTTCTCTTCTACTCCTTCGTGATGACGATATATGCTATGATGTTATCCCACTCAGAAGTGTAGATGTCCTGTTGCTTGATGTGTTCAACCAGTAGGTCATAGAGTGAGTTGACCACGTCCCGCCTGGACTCGGACGATCTACTGGAGAGAGCCTGAGTGAACATGTATTCCGTCCAGGAGCGTATTGCAGAGACGAACTTAGGAATGGAACTGTCCAAATCTTCTTTGTTCCCTGGAACAGAAGGACAGGTTGAACAGACAATGAGAGGACAAACCACTTTTGGCAACGTCCAATAACGTCCTGTTTCAATTAAAAGTAGCATGTAATGACCAGCATATAGAACAACTAGAGCAATAGTGAAAGTATATAGAGATTCCCAGGATCTGTTCAAACATCGAGGAGTACATTCATAGTGATGGGGGTAACATGTGTTGCGGAAACTTACGACCGTCAGTTCGAATCCCGGTTTGCCCTGAAAATGTGTCTTGGGTTGTCTGCACCAAACCCGTTTTCGCGAGTCAAAGCAAAATCAAACCTTCTATACCTGCAACACTCAGCTGGCACGCCGTGAAATACATACCCACTGATTCAGTTTGACATGTGATGTACAATGGAGTATGTTTGTAGCAACGAGTTCGTGTGCTAATGTACTTGTTACCGCTCTATAGTTTTTTTTACATTTCATGCGAACTGAATGTTAGTTTGGTTAAACAGATGTTTTGGCCAGAAAGAATAAACATCAGTAACCAGATCTAAAACCAGACAAAATTCAGAAACTTGTAACAATACACTGAATTCTTCAAAAATGGATCCCATCATTTAAGAAATTGTTGGTGTGATCCAAAATGATCCAAGATCGTTCCTTTCACCAAATGTTTACCATGCCGTGTAAAAGAAGATACTACACTCTTTTCTTCCTTTCGTCTCTGTGGCATGATGTGTATACGTTCATGTTGCATTAGTAGAGACTCGATACGCAGCCCTGCCTTCACAACCGGGGAATCTTCATCAAGGAATGGAGCTCTTAGTTCCTCCTCACTTCTATAGTAGCCGGGGTAGTTGGCTGCCTCGTACTCACACTGCATGAAAGGGAACATATATCCATAACGAGGGGCAAACTGTATTGCAAAAGGGTGAACATGTTTCAGATTATCAAACTCTGGAATAAACCTTTGACAATCCTCGAGTTAACATTCAAATATTTCTTTCATTTGGTTTATATATTCATGTAAAGTTCAACACCTTACTGTACGTACCTGTGTCACTTGATGCATGTCCCTTAACAATCTCCACACTGTCGTCATAGCTACCCACAGGTTTTGTAAATGAACACTGCTTTCTCCATACCTCCTTTCTGTATCTTCAGCAGGAACAATCAGCAGCATACATCCACCTAAGAGGAAACTACAGTATAATCTATGTCTATGCAAACCAAAGGTGATGTGTAGTTATAACGTTTTAAGACAAATATGTACAGAATTGTGTGACCAGAGAGATCACTTCAACATTCTGATAGTCAGCTTTTATTTGTCGAGCTCCAGCTTTTGGTTTCTACATTTCTGCATTCTTTGAGATACAATCAATTCTGGTCCTTCCGTGAAGATTTCAAGGAACGTAATCTCACTCAGAAGCTGTTTGGTAAATATTACAAATTTCACGGCCATAACAAACCATGTCATTCTGTATGGTATACATGTATAAGACATTTCCAGATCTGACGCAGGACGAATACGCTCAACCATTCGCAAAAACCCTGGCATCATCAATATTCGCTAATGATTCATATCAAACTTACACTCAATATCTGATAAAGGTGAACTGGTAATAATCACTACTTGATAGTGATTCATAAACACCTGCTAGGGCTGCAGTGCAATAGTACTAGAATAGGGAAATAAGCTACATTACTGAATATGGAAAGGGTTTTGTCGTCTTTATTTATCTTAGATTTACTTGCTTATTGATGCCAGTTATTTTCCCCTTCGCATCAAATTTGTTTATTCCTGAGGATAGTCAAGACTGAGTACTCTTTTCTTTTCTATATCTTATTCAACTGGGTTGATGTTTCTGCTGGTGGACTGAAGTCCCTGACATTCATCACAAGCATATTTAAATATCCTGAGTCAACTGCTAAATGAAAACGGACACGCCGTGAATGGGTCGTTAAACGATGTTTTTAAACAGGTCTATACACCAAGCACCGGGATCTTCTATACAGCAGTCGTAATTCCAACTTATCTTACTGGAGTGTCCGGTTCATCAATCACTGTGCAGCGACAGGCAAACACTATTTCCATTTCCATTTTTAGGCAAATGTCGTGAATGGCGGGTGCTAGCGGCAAGGCAGGATATGCTTACCCTTTTCGCGAACACCTGGTCCTAATTCTTATAATTTTCACAGCTATTTCCCCCGTTTCATCAACCGGAATTGGTTTCTAAGGACAGTCAAGGCTGGGTATTCCATTGCGCTCTTCTATAATGCTATATTTACCACTTTTAATTTCATTTGCTCTGATGAGGAGAAATCTTTGCCATGCCTCGGACGCCAACGCAGCAACAGCATCGCATTCAGAACGTGAGCCATGGGGAAACTTATTCAACGAATCTTTGTAAGATACAGGCCTGTAAGTAAAACATAGAATGTATTACTATAATATTTTGGCATTGTAGAAATGGCCAGACATACGTGTACATAAAATAAATCCACACTTATTTGGACTGAACAATGTGGGATTTCGGGTACGTATAGGTCGCCGCTGCCATTATTATCAGAAGAGCTGATATTGGTATGGAATGGTCATGCTCGGTACCTCCGTTGATTGTTGGACACCGACAGCTTGGAACCTTTGCCATGTCCTCAATCAAATGACCATGACTCATTTACAGGCCTAGTGATATTGCTGGAATATTGCTGTCAGCAGACAGCTAACATCTTTCCAACATGTACCATTTGATAAACACCGAAACAATGAAGATGTAGATAAACAGAGAAACAGGGTAAAGCTGCAGCATTGCGTGTTGACGCTAGGAAACGACAATGCTATTGGAGGTTTGGGTACTGTCATTTTCATTTTGAGGAGGAAATTCTGGAATTCACTTATTCAGCGGCCCACAAGGAGCCTCGAATTCTGCTGTATGTAGTTCACATATACATGACAGTTAGTTTTGGAAGCAGGGTATTCTGAAATAAGGTATTCAATTCTCGACACTTGAGAAACGGAACCAATTTGAACAGTGATATATGGTTCACGGTTGTCATCGGGTTTTGTTGTATCATATGACAGTGCACGACCGACTGTAAATTCGGAATAAACAGAACTTGGAACGACCTGCGCGAATAGGTGATGCTTTGAATCAAATATTTCCAACAGTTATGGTTAAATGATGCTTCACTCACCTTGGCATAAAGTGGGCAGACCAAAAACAGAAGAGGATGTTGAAGGTGTCATCGGGAAGGCACTGCCTATAGAAGCTGGTGGGGCACACGGAGACGAAGACCTTTTGGTTTCGTGACTCACTGCCATTTCCTGTGACACATAGTGGCATGGATCACAGCACACCTTACATGATCTAAAAAAATCTTTGAAAGACTACACTAGTACAGCAGTCAACAAGAAGAGTCTGAACAGTCTCAGCATGATGATGAATTTTCATTTCGGCCAGGTTTGTGATCCAGCGAGCTTGAGGTGCCGGGATTGAGCCCACCTGTGACCGTGTGTAAACACCTTGGAGTCAACTTTGTGTGCAGACTATTTCAGTGTTGTCACATCCCCAAGTGTACAGTACACAGCCCTGTGCACTCAAAAGAACCCACGAATCCGTTGGTAAATGACGAGATTGTAGTCACATGTATACGTGCAAATACCTGGATTTAGGTACAGCAACATGCAGTAAACTTTGACAAAGTACTGTGACTATGTGTCCCAGTCCACCCAGCTGTGAATGGGTATCTCGTAAGGATGTGAAAGCCACATTAACTTGGTGCGCCTAAATGGCTGCAAGAGTTGTGTGATCCCCAGCCAGTTGTGATTGAAAAATACGATGTGCCGTTGAGATTCACATCCTATGATCAAGTGAAAACAAAGCGCCTTTGAGCAGCTGAGCTGAATATTGGCGCTAAACAAATAAGATATAATAATAATTAACTTCAGTATGTAATGCTAAATTATCTCAATAAACACTGTGAAGCAAATATGTGGACCTATAACAAACGCACATCCTTGCTGATGTTGTATCTGTGAAAGCATTTTCATTATTTATCAGTGTTGACCAGGTACATCTGTTTTTCGCTCTACTCTACATGATGACATCAGAGAGAATATGTAGATACCTGGTTATCAGTTTTGGGGATTTCAAATTTCTTTCAGATCGTGCGTAAACGTCTCTCTTTCAATACACCGATGCTTCTTAAAATTTACACCTTCCTTCAGTGTAGAACAGAAGACAAGCGTTGTCATACAGATGGCCCATGGATAATTTTGGGGGAGTAAGTTATTGTTTCTTTGTTATCGTTTATCTTTCATAATCCATAGTATATACGTGTATATATAAAAGGATCTGTATTTGAATACATATGTATGAGTAAAACATGTTGCACAGAGGGGAGACATAGATAACCAGTTTTATGAACCCGTGAACATGCCATTACTGGAATCATAAAAATATCAAATATATATATAAAAAGCCGTTCGACCTTGATTTTGACAGCCAAGCAAAGTGTGTAATTTACCTTTAAACCAGTCACATTTCAAGAGAGTGATAAGTTCAGCCTAACTTAACTATATTTGTAAAAATACTTTTTGTTATATTTTCGACTTATGTTATATAAAGTATCTCATTAATGGATGTAATGGTATGGACAAAAGTCACCTACTGCAAACATTCATAATCAAGGCATTGTAGTCATTATTGGGCGTGTCTTCGTAGATTATGTGAACAGGGATGTCCTCGCCATGGTATTCCTTAAGGGCGCCTGCAAGGACAGATATACAAAAAACAATATGGAAAGTAGTTTTTTTATAGTGAGTAGAATATTTTTTCTTTTATCTATTTTGGCTTTTCTTGATAACTGTTTGCCACTAGAAAACCGACATTGACAAATGGTTTGTTGAGATTGGTCAAATTTAGGTGTCCTTTTACACATTGATTCTTCCTTTGGCTGTATAAGGCGTGTATTTGTAACCGGCGTTATATAGGCAGCCTACGCATTGTAAACAACAATAACCCGCCAGAAACTATTATGTACGTTCTTTGTTATGAATAACGGTCTGTCAAATATGACTAAATGCATTTCAGAATATACAGAATTAAGTGAAACAAACTCGACCAACTGTGTCACGGTCTAAAAATCTCTTTCATATCGTCAGCTAAAGTCGGTCGTAATAACGCCAGAGAGTGATTACGTAGTCAGAAAGGTCGTTTCGATGAACAAACTACATATCGAGATTCTTTAGGTTACAGGGAGAACATTTTGGGAAATATTTAACCAATGTCTACATTAATGTACTCAAGTACTTCAGGTATACCATGTTCCTAGGAAATAGTTCTAAGCGGCCTGAAGCCATAGTCACTAACAGGTGCAGGTCAAGTATAGATGTATTTACCTAGTAGATATTCCACAATGTCCTTGGTTGAAGATCCGTCATGACATCCATAGTCACCAACTGTAAAAATCTCGCTTCTCGGAATGACTGAAGAGCCTTTAATTAATGACAAGAAAAAAGGTCGTGGTACATTTAGCCAGCCATACAATTAATATGTACAAGATACACACTATTGTATGTAATGCTAGTAAGAACATTCTCGACATCTCGACCTTTGGAAACGTGCTAAATATGTCCTGTGGTCGGGCTTCGTTCATGCTCTTCATTTTTCAAGTAGCATTTCTACTGAGCAGCGGCCAACCCTTAAATAACGGCTTATTTCGGGAGTGACCCTTCCCTACAGGAGAACAAACCACAAAGACATTTTCGTAACAGGATGTTATATGAGCATTAGCTGCTGGTTGTGTTTTATTGTGGTAAAATGCCCATGTGCTTGGTTTATTGTGGTAAAATGCCCATGTGCTTGGTTTATTGTGGTAAAATGCCCATGTGCGGGTTTAATTGTGGTAAAATGCCCATGTGCGTGATTAATTGTGGTAAAATGCCATTATGCGTGTTTTATTGTGGTAAAATTCTCATGTGCCTGTTTTCTTGTGGTAAAATGCCCATGTGCCTGTTTTCTCGTGGTAAAATGCCCATATGCGTGTTTTATTGTGGTAATATGCCCATGTGCTTGTTTAATTGTGGTAAAATGCCCATGTGCTTGGTTTATTGTGGTAAAATGCCCATGTGCGTGTTTTTAT